ATGGGAAGAGACCTGAATAGGATAGCACTCGATGGTGAGCGCGTCATGGTTCTATCCTAAGGGGGGCATAGCTAATCCTAGATCCATTTCCGCAAACCCCAAATCCGACCAAAACCATGCAATATCATACCAAAATCTCTTTTCATCCTCAAATAATTCTTTTCTGCATCCGCTAATAGTCGCCATGTTTGCTGCCTCTCAGGCAGCGCTGTACTATACAATCAAGTACATGTTGAAACACCTAGAGGGAGTAGGCGACCCTGATAAACAAAAACATCTGGAGAAGGGAAACAAGGCTCTAGAACGCTTGGGCTTGAAAGATGCAGATTTAGATGAACATGAGCGTAAGTTCCACGCAACTCGATACTTGCTGATGTGCTGACGCGAATTGTCATCGTCTGTTCAGGCACAATTGCAGCAGAAATCATATCTCCCGAGGAGATGAATGTCACGTTTGCTGACATTGGTGGACTAGAATCCCAGATAACCTCGTTACGAGAAACGGTTATCTATCCATTGACTCATCCACATCTTTTCACGTCCTCTTCTCTTCTTTCCGCACCGAAAGGAGTGCTCTTATATGGACCTCCTGGATGCGGTAAGAGTATGCTTGCCAAAGCCTTGGCAAAGGAGAGTGGAGCTACCTTCATGAACATCAGTGTATCGACACTGACGAATAAGTGGTACGGGGAGTCAAATAAACTTGTCCATGCCATGTTCAGCCTGTCCCAACGGATCAAACCATGCATTATCTTTATCGACGAGATTGATTGCTTCTTACGAGAAAGAGGTAAAGGTGACCATGAGGTCACAGGAATGATGAAAGCAGAATTCATGACGTGATTATCATCCTTTTTCTTGAGGTATTAGGTTCTAATCATTCTAACAGACAATGGGATGGTCTTTTGACCGCAAAGGACTCTCGTATATTGATCTTGGGTGCCACCAACAGACCGAATGACATCGATCCAGCAATCCTGAGAAGAATGCCATCTCGATTTGCTATTCGACTACCCTCACAACAACAGCGCCTCAAGATCCTTCAACTCATGTTGAAGAACACGCCTTTGTCTCCTTCGCTCTCTTTGGATTTCCTGGCAGCACACACCGAAGGATTGTCTGGATCTGATCTTCAAGAATTGTGTCGAAACGCTGCAATGCACCCATTGAAGGAACTCATGCGGAGAGAAGGTGGACTGAAAGGACTAGAAGCAGCGGAAGGCGAACAGCTGACGCTGCGACCCTTGACTCTCCAAGATTTCCTGACATTAGAGGGTGATTTACTACCTCCACCCGGTACCAACGATCCCGTGCCTCTCGCGTACGACAAACGTGCATCGCAAGGGAACGGGCACCCGACTATCAACGGAGTAGACGCATCGAAATCAGAGCTGAGCTCGGAATATGATGATCCTTTATGATTATTTGTCTTGTTTGGAGTTACACGGTGTTTAACGTACTATAGACTACATGCAGCTAATTACCTTATACATTCTTAAGGCCCTCCGGGCAATTCCTGACCGAGAACATCTTTTGACAAACAATGTAGATTTCGAGTACTAAGAAAA